ATGGAAGAGCCAATGTCACTGTTTTAAGAAAGAAGATAAACACACGTATATTGGGAAGAATGATTGCCGGGTATAGCAGTAACAAAAGGACAGAGAGATTTGAGGAAAGGGATTGTTCAGATAGTTCAGCATGTGTCCTTTAGTGGGAAAATGTATAGCACAGAATACCCAAAGATGTGAAAATTAAAGTAAAATGTTAAAAAGGAGGCTTTTGACAGCATTAGGAGTGAGATGCATTCAATATCCAGAAAGATCACGGTAATTTCAGTAGGGAATTGAAAAAGCAAATATGACAATGCAATGTAAGATTTTGAGAAAAGATTAGCATTATTCGCATTAGTCAACATTAAATTGAACCTTTAAACATTTTCTAAATTTGAGGTATAAGAGGTAGGTAGGGTAAAAGTTGGGCTTGTTAGGCACTCAAAAGGAAATCTTCTTGTTGAGGCTGAGGGCAGGGCTAAAGTATTTAAAAAGTACTTGTATCTGTCTCCACAATGGGTTACAGTAGAAGAGAAAAAGGAAGATACAGACAGGATAGTATTAGCTAGAGAAGGTGAACCAAAAGAGATAATCTTTTTTGGAAGTTAACATCTCACCCAGCCCAGATAGCATGCAACCTAGATTCACAGCTAGAAACATCAAAGGTCATTGGATGCAGGCATTGTGTTGGACTATTGAAGGGTTGATATGATACCCCTACTCAGAAAGGGGGAGCTGGTGGCATGGTGATGATGTAACTGCATAGCCATCCAGTGGCCCAGGCCAGTGTTCTAAGTTTGAATCATACCATGGCAGATAGTGAAATTAGAATTCAATAAAATCTGGATTAAAAAGCTAATCCAATGGCAGCCAGGTAAACAGTGTTGGTTGTTGATAGTGATGAACAAAACTCCAGATTTTGGAAAACCTAGACAGGATGGCAAAGTGGGCAGAAACAAGGCAAACAAATGTCAGTGCAGGAAGTGTGGAATATTGTTGAAAACTGCACATATTGTCAAAGCCTTTCATCTTGCACTCTTCAGCACATTTGCAAAAATACTGAGGTAAGGAGGAACAATATTCTAACTGGTATGAGAAGACAGTGCTGATTGGTTAGTAACTGGAGTCTAGTAAAGGTTTGCCATGGAGAATGCACCAGTTATGTGATGACTGACAGCTAACAGCCAAGATTTGTTTAAATTTAAACAAGGCAGGTTGACCTGGTCAAGGAATGAATGAGAGAATTATTGTCGCCTAGTCTAAGTTGAAACAGGCACAACGTATGTACATAATACTTCTCTCTGTAAAGAACCGAACCCTGTGTATTGATATATATAGCTACAAATACCCACAAATGCACAATACTGGGAGCCCAACCAGACTCAGATTGAGCAATGGGGTACAATCAGGCATGTTACTAAGCCAATATATTCTCTAAAGTCTCAAAATTTCTCATTAGTCGGCACAAAGTAAATTGATCTCAGTACTGTCGTACCAGGAGACATAATTTGGATTCAGGTCAGTAGCTGTTCTTGTAAAATGATGGCCAGAATTTTAACCGTGGAAGCTGGACCCTTGATGGCAGGAAACGGAGAGGCATCTTGCCAGTGGCAGCCAATCAATAAGCTGCTGCCGGGGATTGCTGTCCAATCACTAAGAGCTGCCAGAGGCTAATATCCAGTCCCAAAGAGGTACCAGCCCCACCATGAGCACCACCTCTTGTGGTGGCTGTTGCTATGGCAGCAGTTGCAGAGAAGAGGCACCCTAATAATTAGGGATCCTGAAAGAGAGGCAGTGAGGCCTGGGAAATGCCAGGGCCCTGGTGATTGTGGGGATTTGTTGTGCATTTAAGGAGCTTAATTGGGTTCCAAGTAGACAGCCATTCTTCTCACTTTCCTGCCACTGAGCTGACAGTGGGAAGACATCGAACAGTCTTGTCCCTGAGCCCTTCCCCTGCCATTCTGTCCGCCTGCCTGTTTCTCAGCCCATCAGCCCAAGGCTTAGCAAACTTCTGGCCTGTGCATTTGCTTATTGGGAAATTGAGTTTGGCCTCAGTTCTCAGGAAATTGGTAATTTGAATATCTGCCAGCGTTATTTACAGTTCACACTTGAAGGCTGACTGTTGGAAGCAGGTAGCGACTTGTTCCCTCTGCCTGTGAAATCATACTCCGGTAAGAGAAAACAATATCTTGCAGAGGAAGTGGAAATAATAGAGAAAAGTATCACTGTGATACAAAACAAGGGTCTGTTGTAGCATCCTTATGGATCCAGTAGTGTCACGAACCAACCCACATCATAAAGAAGCAGTAAATCTCCACGCGCCTGCATTAATTGTTTTCTTTCATTGAGATCTAACCGTGCGGATAATTGGAATAATGTTTGGTATCTTTTACTGCCCAATCTTTATTAGTTCTCTAAGAAGGTCGAAAGATTTTAATGTGAGATGAAATTCTAACAATTATTTTCTCCATTTTTTTCCCTAACCATCCAATTGTTTTTCTTACAGTAATGAGGCCACTTAGCATGTCTTGCAGTTTTGACTTGTCAGGTAAAGGCAGCTCCAGTACCTGACGTGGTGGTTTTTGTCATGTCTTGCTTTTGCTTTCGCATCTTTCACTTCATCTGCCTTTGTTTTAACCATTCTCAGTAACTTTGGTTACTTTAACGTTGCTGTTGGCTTTATAGTTTGTGCTTGGTGCCACAGCTTTGTTGCTCGTGGTTTCAATGTCTACGGTAATGGGGTGCTTTCAGCATATTGCAAGTTGAGCTTATGTCAAAAAAGAGAGTTCGGTTGGATGTGGAAGTGCTGTTTTTATTTATTTGTTCATGGGACTTGAGTGGCACAGGCAATGACAGTATTTATTGCCCACCCCTAACTGCTGTTGACAATGTGGCAGTAAGCTGCCTACCTGAACCACTGCAGTCCGTGTGGTGAGGTTACGCCACAGTGCCATCAGGCAGAGTTCAAGATATGGTGAAGGAGTCTCAATATAACCATGTGTGACTTGGGGGTGATGGGGTTTCTGTGCATCTGCTGCTGCCAATGTCCTACAAGATGGGAACTGTCAAAGAAGCCTACCATGCATGCCCCCAGAGGGGTTGGAAAGATGGAGCTGAGCACCTGTATATAGATATAGATATATATATATATATATATATATACACACACACATATATATGGCATCTGCCATTCTCCAGGGACAGCATGTAGATGAAGACTAGGAAGGGACCAAGATAAGATCTTTGGGGATTTCAGAGGCAGGAAGGAAAAGTGATTGGATTAAATTTTCTGGATTCAATTGGAAAGCAAAATGTGAAATCAGGAATCAGCCTTCCCTTTGTTTTTCGCTTAGTTTTTCTTTTCTCCCTCATGAGATGATTAAAGAAGCTTTCTGTGTAGATGAGCGAAGATCTTTCTTAGCTCCATATGTGCTGTATTCTCATGAATGACTTTAAAAGGCTGTATCCATCACACGATGTGAGTGATTGAAGTTTATCTGCTGAGCTCATCCTTTTCCTGCTTTACTGTAGAAGACAAGCTGCTAAAACACAGAATGGGAAATGTTGGGCTTGTGGCCTGAAACAGTATGTAACGTGTTTGGTTAGAGTATATGGCATTGCATGACTGTGAAAATCAAATTTGCTGACTGTTTCGAATCTCTCCTGATTTTTATTTTCAAAGGTGTGATCTAAACTCTCAGAATTTATGCAACACACAGTGTCTAGATCTACCCCATAAAATCTTTCCAAGCAAAGAGCACTGGTTAGAGGTCAGGAGTTAGAGTTTTTTTTTAATCCTGCACCCATCTACGCTCCAAAAAAATGCTCAAAAACTAGAAGTACTGAGGCTATATGTGATGCCTCTACACAAATCAAGGATGTACTCTGGACCCTATCTTGTCTGTGTGCCTCAGTGCCTTGTTGAGCTGTGCATTTACTCATTAGACCAGTGGGGATGTTAGACAGTTCTGAAGAGAGACCGCTCAGTTGGACCCTTACTGTTGAAGTAACCAGCTGTTTTTTTTTATTCTGCATGTTGCATTACAAAAAAAATGGCTTTCACAAGCACTCTTCCACTACTTCAATTATTTAAATAATTGTTCTTTCCCCTAAGTCCCCACAAGCCACCCCCCCGCCATTAAAGGAGCAAACAATGATGTTCTATACAACCTCTCTCTTGGGGTTGGCCTGTCATAATGTATTGGGATGAACTCACCTCTGACCCTTGCTCCCATCTGAGTATTGAGCGGCTCATTATTCCTGCTGACATGGAAGGAGGGTCTTTTTTGTTTAAGTTAATAAAAAACTGCAGTCAGCAGCTCTTGGTACATGGGCTGGAACATCAGTTTCAAATTCCATTATTTCACGAGGCCGCTTTTCAATTTTGTGTCTAAAGAACTGAATGTTTCAACCAAGGGAAGAACTTTGACGTTCGAATTGCAGCAGGCCATTCAGCCACTCGAGTCTGTGCCATCGATCAGTTAGATCATAGCATACCTGAGGGGTTGCCGGGAAAGTGATGGTGTACGCCTGAGCTGTGGCTATGGCAATGTCGTAGTAAGCAGGCATGCCGTTTGTGGTCGGTGTCTTTTTGAAAATTTTGCACAATAGAGAAGATTTTACAAGAGACTTCAAGCAACAGAGTTCATCTGGTGAGAAGGGTTTTGCCCTGTTTCATGATTAGAGTTGCCACATTTGCCCGGTTTGCTAAGGAAGGGAAAAAGGTTTGCAATTTGCTTATGTAGGAAACGTATTGAAGACTGTGATAGCTTTAACATAGCACCAGAATAGGAATGGTACACTTTCACTTTTAACTTTTTAGACTTTTTAGAAGACTTTTTAAAAGATGTTGTACTTTTTAGATGTTTTAAAAGAAACACACTGCCTGAAACAAAACCAGGCACGTGGCAACTCTAACTTTGACATGCAGGGGGCAGAAGGAGTATAGTGTAGGAATAGTCTCCTGCAAGATTCACTCTTCGAGTAGACTTTTTGATTCACTTTTCCCATGTTTACAGATGTGACGACCCCGGAAAGGAGCAAAAAGACTTCACCCCCTCCCGTTGCCAATGGCGCAATTATGTCTCAAATTACTGAGACTGATGCCCATACCTCACAAGTTCAAAGAAGAAAACTCCTGAAGGCACCTACGCTGGCAGAGATAGACAGCTCCGACTCTGAGGTAAGGAAAAATGTGCTCGTGAACCTAGCCTCTGTTGTTCTTCTATTCATGTGCATCTGTCCATTTGTGTGTGCGTATGCACATGTGAATGTGTATGTGTATTTTTTCCTGCAGAGAGCCTGTGTGTGTGTGTGTGTGTGTGTGTGTGTGTGTGTGAGAGACAGAGAGAGAGAGAGCACGTGTGTCGGTCAGTATTTTTTTGCCTGTAGCTACACACTGGAGAAAGAAGTCGAGGCTTTTTCTCTTGCACTCACATCAGGACTGAAATGCAGAAACCAAATTTAGAAAGTTCACATGTCTATGTTGCACATCAATCCTGATGAAAGACCAAAGCCTTGACATCATTTCTCTTTTTATTTGAAGGGTTTTAAGTTCAGTATTACCAAGCACTTAATAATAGAAATATCTCCAGAGTGAAACTACCCATATGTGTTTAAGGGGAATCTCAGTATACATACATGTGACCTTATTGAAACACAAGATTCTTAAGAGGCTTGACAGGTTAAAAAGTGAGAGAATGTTCCCTTTCATGGGAGAGCCTAGGACCAGAGGGTATAGTCTCAGAATAAAGGGATGCCAATTTAAGACTGAGATAAGGAGGAATCTCTTCTCTCAGAAGGTTGTGTGTCTTTGGAAATCCTAGCACAGACAGCTGTGGGAGCAGAGTCCTTATGTATGTTTAAGGCTGAGAAAGATACATTTTTGATCAGTTGGGGTATCAAAGGTTATGGGGAAAGTGTAGGGAAGTGGAAGTGAGGAATGTTGGATCAGCCTTGATCCTACAAAACGGTTGAGCATGGTCAAGGAGAAAGAAAGTAATGGATAAATGTGATGGTAAAGTTAGATGCAGTAGATATGGAGATGGTTCATAGAGTCATAGAGTCACACAGCATGGAAACAGACCCATTCGTCCAATTAGTCCATGCTGACCATGTTCCCAATCTAAACTAGTCCCACTCACCTGTGTTTGGCCCATTTCCCTCCAACCTTTTGTATTCATGTATTTATCCAAATATCTTTTAAATGTTGCAACTGTACCTACATCCACCACTTCCTCTGGCATTTCATTCCACATACGAACCACCCTCTGTGTAAAAACAAAAGTTGCCCCTCGGGTCCTTTTTAAATCTTTCTCCTTTCACTTTAAAAATATTGGCCCTAGTTTTCAATCCCCCCCACCCTAGGGAAGAGACTCTTGCTATTTGTGGAGAATAAAAGCCCAGCAAAGATAATTTGGGTCAAATACTTGCTTCTTTGCTGAAAATGTATGTAATTCGCTAAATACGTCAATGTCACTGTAGTATTCCTTTTTCCAGTTGATAGAGAGAATTCAAGGAAAAGCTAATGTATATTCAGAGCTGTCAGAAGCTGCAGCAACTTAATATGCAAATTCTGTGGCAACTGCTACCATTATGGGAAATTAAATTCTGTGTCACATCTGCTCAAGGTCGGAGTCATCCCAATCTCATGCATTAACTTTTTATACTTTACTAAAAGCTGGTAAACTGGTGGTCTTCGTTTAGAGTGATTGTATTTATTTTTGAACAATGTAGTTTTCCTTTTGTTCATGGGATGTGGGCATCACTGGCTAGCCAGTGTTTTTTGCCCAACCCTAATTGCCCAGAGGGTAGATAGGAGTCAGCCACATTGCTGTGGGTCTGGAGTCACATGTGGCCAGACCAGGTAAGGACACCAGATTTCCTTCCCTAGAGGACATTAGTGAACCAGTTTGGCATTTATGACAATTGACAGAATTAGGCTTAGTTTTATCCAGATTTTTATCGAATATCGAATTGAAGCTCCTGTGTGTTATTTAGGTCTTTGCCGTATTAATTAACATTCTTACTTATTCCCCACTTGGTGCTTTCTTTATTCACTCATGGGATGTGGGTGTCGCTGGCTGGGCCAGCGTTTATTGCCCATCTCTAGTTGCACTTGAGAAGGTGGTGGTGAGCTGCCTTCTTGAACCGTTGCAGTCCATGTGCTGTTAGTTGACCCACAAAGTCCTGAGGGATGGAATGCCAGGATTTTGATCCAGCGACAGTGAAGGATCAGCAATATATTTCCAAGTCAAGTGGCTTGGAGGGGAACTTGCAGGTGGTGCTCTTCCCATGTAACTGCTGCCCTTGTCTTTCTAGATGATAGAGGTCATGGGTTTGGAAGGTGATGTCTGATTTCTGCAGTGCATCTTGTAGATCATACACACTGCTGCTGGTGAGGGAATGGATGTTTGTGGATATGGTGTCTATCAAACTTTGTCCTAGATAGTGTCAGACTTCCTGAGTGTTGTTGGAACTGCACTCATCTTGGCAAGTGGCAGTAATGTCTACAACCATTGAATAAATAAAATAAATGGTACATGGACCATATGATTCCAGGAAATCAGATCAGGAATAGGATCAACAGAGTATGCTGCACCTTTCAGTGAGATCATTGTTGACCTTCTAGCATTGTTGATCTTCATTTTCCTATCTTGTGCCTTTATACTTTATCCCTTACCTGGCAGAATATTATTTAAGCATTGTGTGAATTTTAGTTAGACATGACCCAATTTAAATCAAGATGATGAGTAAAGGTACCTAACCTTCAATGTGAGAT